ACCTAACGACATCACCACCCATTCATATGTTCCTAATACCCCTAGGAATGTAAGTGATGTTTTGGGCATATCTTCATCTACTATAAAAATCTGGTTATACCCAGAATATCCGTCGAGCATGCTAAGATATTCATACCTTGCATTTGAATCGACTAACATTTCTACGACAGGCATTGAATATTCCTTAAGATGATATAGCATCCCTAGGCTTGGTTTTTCAAACACATCTTTATGTTCTTCGACCACACCATTATTCATCACATAGTAGCATATAGGTTTTTCATCAGCCGCTTCGTCGAAGGTAAAATCTTCTTCATTTTCTGATACTTCTGACACCCTGTCATATTCAGTAGGCAGAATCGACACAATCCCACAATTAATGACGAAGTCTTCGCCATAATCATAGTTCTCATCCACCATGTCATCCTCTGGAGAAGGCTCATATTCAGGTTCTTCCTCCTCTTCTCCTTCAGATGTGGGAGTATACTCAAGCGCATGAGTATATTCCATATTTTGTTTTACCACCAATTATGTATTTCCTAAAGGAGCTACCTCCATAGCCATTCTTTGATTTGCTATGGCTTTTTCTTTTTCAGTCAACTTCGACTTGGGATAGTACACCTTTGGAATTGTAAACTCTATTTGCTTCGTGGCTTCTGCTGGTAGCGTGTCTTTGACACAACAGTTGTCTTCGACTGGCTTCAATTGAGATGCTGAAGCTTCCTTTGTCGCCTTTTTGTTCCTCTGATAACGCCTCCATTGAGTCCTTGTCATTGGGTTTTTTCCCTTATAGTTGGGGTAAACTTGATAACCCTTCAACTCACCTTTCTTTTCCTTAGCCTTAGCTTCATGCACAATTACTTTCCACTTTGGCCTCTTGCCCCTCTTTTGGCTAACTGATTCCACCCATTTCTCTTGTGTTATATCTGATGAAGGGAGAAAGGTTTTCAGACGAGACTGTTGAAAATTTTATGTACTCCTTGTTGCGTTGAGGATTTCCTTTCCTGTCGAAAAAAACCTTGGTACTGGAGGCTTCTCTTTCTTAAGAGCCTTTTTTGATAGCTTCATACTTCTCATCCACTTCTTTATTAAACATAGCGTTGCATCTTGGGCAAAATTTTGCCTTCGACCCCTTCACTCTGCATTTCTCGAGGAAGTCAGCCAAGCTTTCTTTAGGCTGAGGGTACACTGCCTGTAATCCCTCTTCCATCTTTAGGTCGTAACTTTCATTGGTTCCTACCATCATAACTTCTATGTCACCAATCATTATAACCTCTTTGTCGAGGTCCTCAGTATCTTCGACCATCATGCAATCTAGAGGCTCTAAGTATAAAGCCTCTTCAATTTTCAAATGTTCAATGTCGACTTGCATCTTTGGATTCTCTCCAAACTAGAGTTTTCCATCTTTCAATGCTTTCTGCATCCGCACATGCACCTCATGCATATATGCATTCATAACAGGTACTCAGAGTCAGTGATTCTTATTCAGACTTGATTCTCTCTTCAGAACTGTAAATCTTGACTTCTCACCACTCCATGCTCAGAGATTAGTTATGGAAAAACTTCATGAGGGTTTGGCCGAGATAATGTTTTAGATTGAGTTGTTTATGGTAGATATGCCAACCATGGCCTGCGATCAGGAACTCTTGAAAGAGCAAAATGGATAGTTGAAGACTCAGTTAATTTTGGTCATGGAAATTCTGAAGACAGTATTGAGAAAGGGAAGTGATCCTATACATGTTGTTACAACATGAGTTGATATTCCTCCCCATCCAGTGGGATCTCTTTTAAATCACGAGGTATTTTATGGATCTCTTCCATAACTTGGTGTTCTTGGGTCTCCTCGCATGTAACCAGTAGTCATAGTGATCAGATGTGAATGTAGAGGGTGAACGGAGGTGTCGAACATTCACAAAGATGTAAGTACGAAGTGCGCCTAAGAGGGGGTGAATTAGGTACTTTAAATTTTTTCTGGTTTTAGTGATGATGGATATTATTTTTCTGGTTTATGGTGAGTTTATGAAAGAGTAAAGTGCAGAAAAATAAAGATAAACAAGCGAGATATCCTGGTTCCCCTCACAGTCCGAGAGTACTCCAGTCCCCTTTAAACATGAAAGAGATTTCCTTATAGTTGGAAAACTAAAACAAGAACTACAAAAACCAAGAACAATCCTCTTGGACCAAGAACAATCCTCTTGGATTTTCACTATGTCAACAGTGAGAACAATCCTCTCAAGGTGATCTTACTTGTTTCCAACAATCCTAGAAAATAAGAGTACAAAAACCACTAATCTTATTTCCAATAATCCTGAAAAATAAGAAAGTGTGCAACAATATTTTGATTGAGTGAGTTTGTAGAACAATAATCACTTTGAGTGATTTTATCAATAACTTGATCTTCTCTTCCAATAACAATGATATACAGTGACTCAAGACTTAGATTGCTCAAATTTTTCTGTTATACAAGATATGAAAATATGCAGAAAACTTTTTGAATAAAAGTGAAAAATGACTTGAGTTAAATATTTGAAAATTCAGAAAAATATATTGATTGGAAGAGCTTGCCTTATTTTTGATTTTGAAATTTTAGTATTTATATGTTCATAGCACCCCTTTGAAACAACATAAGTTTCTGTAAATTAAACATGGAAAATTGCCAAGATTAAATGAAAAGATTCCATGAAGTGGTGTTATGAAAAGGTACGTTCAAAGCTGCTGTTTTTCAAAAACGTTCAGCAAGCAATCAATTGCACCCTTGATTCAAATCGATTGCACGGGTTCTAACAACCAGAAAGTTCAAATATTTTCAGTGAGCAATCGATTGCACAAACATGCAAATCGATTACACTTTAAAAAAGAAGCATTTTTAACCAGAGAGAAATTGATTACACTCTTGTTGAGTTCGAAGAGAAGTTGATTGCAGCGGAATCGGTTGAATGAAGCTTTGAAGGCGACGACGAAGCTTAAGCTTGTGAGTGAGAGATTGAGCAGAAGACGGATTCGAAACAGAAGGAGTTCATCAGAGGTTTAGCACAGGCTTGTTACACACACCCTGTATCTTGTTTAGAACTCCCCTGTTTAGAATTTTAGTGGCTTTCTCTTTAATTTTCTGTTCATAATTTTGATGATAAAAATGCATGAATAAAAATAGTAGAGAGATGCTAATTGATTATAGTTTTTTAGAATCTAATTAGAGTTTCTAAAAGTTCATGTCATGTTTAATCATTTTGTCACTACTTGTGCCATGATCTTTTGGGTAGATTTGCTGTTAATTTTGGTGCGAGAATTGTTGAAGAATTTAAAGAGGTTCTGAAGTAAATTAAGAGTCTAATTTTCATCAAGGAAATTCGAGGAAGTTTTTTGGTAGAGTTTTTTTTATTGCTTGCGCGTATTGAAGAGGCAACAAACCTTTCTCCGTTAGGTACCGCTTAAATCTCTTTTAATTTCTGATTATTTGAAGTCTTACCTCGAAGTAGTCAATTTTTGATTTGAAGTCTTACTTCAAAGTAGACAATTTCTGATTATTTAAAGACCTACCTTGAAGTAAGCAATTTCCGACTTGAAGTCCTACCTCGAAGTAGGCAATTTTTGATTATTTAAAGACCTACCTCGAAGTAGGCAATTTCTGATTTGAAGACCTACCTTGAAGATTTGCAATACTTATTGCAACACCTTCTATTATATGGCGACGATCGAGAAATTGTGAAGATCGAGTATCACTCGCTATCCATTAACAACGAAGGGAAGCTTGGGTTCATTAACCATGAACTGAAGACGAGCGCTGACTTACGAACTATGTGTAGAACCTTTTTCGGTTTAGAATCGAAAATTCTGATCGAGCTCAATGTGAGATTTCAAGAGCAGTCGATGAAATTATAAAAATGTTGCAACGTTCATCTGAATATTGAAATATAATGTTTAATGTATGTTTAAATCTCTTATGTATTACTTATTTTATGGTATTTTTAATTTGATAACTTTGTTTATCTTCAATATTATTTTTCTGTATTCTGTAATAATTAGTACCAAAAATATAATGTCAGATTTGGCACACAAATGAAACTCTGATTATATAAATTTTTTAGTTACCTATAAGTACATCTCAGAAATTCAAGAGACATTTATGTATTTTTTGCACCGCGAAATAACGCTTTCACAGGCAAGTGTGCAACACAATCTACGTGGCAGAATCTAAGTAGCTCACACGCGTTAGCTTCTGTAGACCCGGTTGCAGAGAACTTGTCTCATGACTTTTATTACGCAGTAAGATCTCTCTCTCTAACTACACAGTACTTGTATATATATATAAATATAGAGAGAGAAAACAAAACGCGGTGAAGAAAACTAACACACGCCACTCTCAGATCTCTCCGTCTTCAATACTCTTCTACTTCTAACTAACTAACTCATCCTCCATTAATGGCTTCTTGACAAGGTATCAACTCTCTCAATCTCGTATTTTTCATTTCGTTGCTCAATTCAACTTTCGCATAAGCTTTTCTTTGTATTTAAGTATATATATATATCGCAATTTCCGTTCAATTATTCTTTACTTGCTTAGGTTCTTCAATTTCCGTTCAATTCTAGGGTTTAATTTTTACTAAATATAGTAGAATTGCATTAACCTCGTTCAAATTTTCAGGTTCTTATTTATGTTTCAGTAGTTTATTGAGAATCAGTTCTGATCTGTTTATATGGACGCAGTGCTATCGTTATTAACGATTGTTTGGAGAAGCAATTGGATCATATGAGGTGTTCATTTGGTTGGATTGCTTCGCCCTCCATCAATTTAGATGTTCGATTTTTGCAAGCTTGTTGTAATAAGGAAATTTCACTCAGAGTTACACAGGTTAGTGTTGTTGATTTTGCTATTCGTGTAGAATTTTGAGGAAATTAATTGGAGTTTATGTGCAGGTGAGCAAAGTGGAACTGTATCCTTTGATCCAAGGAAGTACTGTTTTGCAGCTCGGTAAGGTTATCAGAGGTGGACATAGGTTATAATGGCAGAGGGAGAGGAGCGTATCGAGCTTAAATTTCGTATATATGATGGAACGGATATAGCGCACGAGACTTATCCAGCATCTACTACAACAGTTGGTACACTTAAGCAAAAGCTTATTGCTGAGTGGCCTCAAGGTTAGTCGTTTTGGTTGGATATGTCTTTGTATTTTTCATTGAATTAGTGTTTATGCATTGATATTTAAATTAATGCATGGATACTCTTAATGATCAAATTGATGTTACAAATTTTCGGAGGACTATGAGAGAGCAGGGTGTGGGCTATCATCAGGGATAGCAATGGTGAGTGGCTAGGAGGTTTTGCCAAGAAGTTGGGGTTGTGTAGTGTGTTAGTGGCGGAGCTTTAGGGGGTTTACGAAGGTTTAATGGTTGCTAGAAGGCTGGGTTTGAGTGCAATCGAGATTAATGTTGATTCGATTGAAGTAGTGAATGGTTTAAATAGTGGTACTATGGTAATTCCATTGGTAGAGCTTTGATTTAAAAGATTAGATCTTTTTTAGCACTTGAGTGGGAGATTGTTGTTAGACATGTTTATCGTGAACTGGGGAGAATCAGTGTGTTGACGCATTAGCTAGCTAGAAATGGAATTGTGCTTAGTGAAAGTATGTGTTTTTATGATACATGTCCGTTTCATATTAAACATGTGCTTGATGCTGATTTGATGGGAAATTCGGTTTCCCATTTAGTTTCGATTCAATTTCCTTTTGTTGTTGGGCTTAGGCCCTCTTTGTATCCAAAAAACCCGGACAATTGATTTTAAGTTAAATGTGTTTTTTGAGCACCAAAATGCTACTTTAGTCTTTTCTCATATTAATTTATACACGTAGGAAGTTGATAATTTGTTTTTCTTTCATATTGAATCATTGTTTTCAAATACTATATTCTTATTCTATTCAATAAAGAACTCATTTTAAACACGTATATCAAACTTACCTATTGGCGAATGATTGTCTTATGTATCTAGCTATTTTTTTGCTGCATAGTTGAGGACGATAATAACGTTAACAACCATTATGCCTTGTCCTATTACTTTTCATGAAACAAGGTTAAAAGTTTTCCATTCTTTTCTTATTACATATATCAATCCTTTAAGTTACAGAAATGCATATAAACGACCTGTGAGTCCTGTCTCACTTGTTCAGTATTAAAGAAAGCATCGCTACTCTTGCAGATAAACGATTCATTTTCCTTTTCTCATAAATAATGCATATATCCGTACCTATATAAAAACATATATCGGTATGTGATCACTTTTATTTTCTATATTGCATGTTTGCCTTGACATTTAATGAAATCTTCCGTTTACAGGAAAAACCGTTATACCAAAGTCAGTCAACGATGTAAAACTTATACACGCTGGTAAAGTTTTGGAAAACACCCTAACACTTGCTGATTCCAAAATAACTTTCGGTGACATCCCTGGTGCTATTATCATGCATGTTGTAGTACAGCCTCCTATAGCTAAAAAAAAGACAGGTTTGTTCAATCTTTTTATCCGTGCTTTTGCTGAAGTAGTATGGCTCTGAGTACCTGTGTTCTGGTACAGGAATAACATATTAATTATATGAAGAATAATAAGTAATTGGAATCATGAGATAAATGCAATTTCATAAATACAACTCAGATTTTCAACATAACTCTAAAATATATCAAGTAAGCAAAACTCACAGAAGATGGCACAAGTTTTGAAGGTTGTTTTATTTAGTTACAAACCAATCAAGTTATTACTTATTAATTATTAGTAAAACTTGGACTTTTAATTGAACTAGCTTGTGAGGTCACCTCATTGCAATGCCTGATCAATAAGTTCCCACGATTAAGTGACAGCAACAAATTTAGGAGAAAAAAGTTATTGTGCATGTGATTCTTGTACCCAACAAGAGCTTTTATATATATATATATATATATATATATATATATATATATATATATATATATATATATATATATATATATATATATATATATATATATATTAAAATTCTGTATATTTATCATATAATTAATGTCTGGCTTGCATGCATTACTGCAAGTATATTTATTTAGTGATTTAGATTTAGTTGCTTTTGTGAAAGTATATTCATTTAGTTATTTAGATTTAGTTGCCTTTGAGACATATTTTTAATGTTTGACAAACTGAAGTGATATATGTTAGAACCGGAAATAATAAAAGTACTGAGAGTGAGAAAACTACTGTTTTATTAGAAAGTGAAAACAAGTTTATATAGCCTTTATAACAGGAACTAGTCAAAAGCCAGCAGTACATTGCAATAAAATAGGAATAACAGAAACTGATCCTAAAATATAGGAATTCCTCCTAAAGAATCTAACTTCCCTTAAGACTAGGATTTATTAGTAAAAACGTGGACTGAATCAAAAAACAAATAGACTTTGACTAACATTCCTTCCCTTAAGCTAATGTCTATGTGATTAGCTTAATTCTGTGATCTTTATTACTCCAAGCATGCTTCGAAGCTTCTCAAACTGCTCGAACTTCAATGGCTTCGTCATTATATCTGCAACTTGTTCTTCAGAGCAGCAAAAACTCAGTCTCACTACTTCATCATTTACAAAGTCTCTGAGAAAATGAAACCTTACTGCAATATGTTTACTTCTGCCATGAAAAACTGGATTTTTGGACAATTGAATGTTGGAAATCCACCAATACTCTATGATGAATTTCGACCACCACTGATGATTAGTTATGACAAACAAATAAAAGAATAATGGAGATATTTCTGCAGAGTTTCTATTCTGCCCACAAACTGTGAAATCTTTATTAATTCACTTTGCAACTGCAAAATACTGTGAATGAGTTGATTACAAAATAAGGGTTACTCCCTCTATTTATAGATTTAGGTTAGCTTGCTTCCTAAGCTAAACCCAAACCCAAAATATCAAATCAAATCTAGATTTAAGTTCAAATCTATTTAAATCTAAACAAATCAAATCTTCTTTTTGACACATATGAATTATAATTTAACACACCACCTAATTCATTGTGTCTAAACTGTCTATGTTCATCATGGCCCTTAGCTTTCTGAATACTTCGACCTGCACTCCCTTCGTCATGACGTCTGCAATCTGATTCTCAGTTCTGCAGTGTTCCAAATTCATCTTCCCATCTGCTACCTGCTCTCGAAGATAATGGAACCTCATTTCGATGTGCTTACTTCGACCATGTGCTATTGGGTTCTTCGCCAGATTGATAGCTGACATGCTGTCTATCTTCATGGTAATTTCTCCATGATTTTTCCCTGTTATCTCTTCGACCAAGTTCACCATCCAGGTTGCTTGACATGCACAAAGAGAAGCAGCTATGTATTCTGCTTCACATGATGATAATGCCACTACTGGTTCTTTTCTCGAACTCCAAGCAATTGTTGCACCACCTAGCATAAACACATATCCTGCTGTTGACTTTCGATCTTCAACATCACTGCACCAACTCGAATCAGTGTATTCCACTAACTTGCATTCTTTTCCTTTATCAACTGCAGGAAACAAAATGCCATAATCGAAAGTTCCTTTAAGATACCTTAGTATCCTCTTCACAGCTGCTAGATGTGATACCTTTGGTTTCTGCATGAATCTACTTACCATACCTACACTGTATGCTAAGTCAGGCCTTGTATGACAAAAGTATCTCAATGATCCAATAAGTCTTCTGTATTGGGTTGGATCAACATCATCTTCATCTGCATCTTTCGACAGTTGCAGTCTTGGTTCTGCAGGTGTTGAAGTTGCATTGCATTCTTCCATCTCAAACCTTTTGAGAATTTCTCCTGCATATCTTCTTTGATGCATCATCAAACCTCTACTGCTCTTGTAGAATTCGATACCAAGGAATATGAAATCTTACCCAAATTAGACATTTCGAATTCCTTGCTGAGATCACCTTTGAAGTCTTCGATCTCACTTTTACAGCTACCTGTTATCAACAAATCATCTACATAGAGACATAGTATAAGCAATTTACTCTTGCTTCTTCTTACATATACTCCATGTTCAGTTGTGCACTTCACAAATTCCTTCTCCCTTAGAAAACTATCAATTTTCTTATTCCAAGCCCTTGGAGCTTGTTTCAATCCATACAGGGCTTTATGTAGCTTGTACACCTTTCTTTCTTCGTCATGTTTCACAAACCCAACTGGTTGTTTAACATAGACTTCTTCATCTAAGGGTCCATTTAGGAATGCACACTTCACGTCCATCTGACATATGTGCCAACTGTTGATTTCTGCTAGACCAACAACCAGCCTGATTGTTTCGATCCTAGCAACAGGTGCAAAGACTTCGTCGAAGTCTATTCCTTCTTTCTGTAGAAATCCTTTCGCCACAAGTCTTGCTTTGTGTCGAGTTACTTCACCTTTCGAATTCGTCTTCACTTTGTATACCCACTTGACATCAATTGCCTTCTTGCCTTGAGGCAATTCGACAAGTGACCAAGTGTTGTTGTCTTCGATAGACTTTACTTTTTCGTTCATTGCTTTCACCCACTTCGAATCCTTTAATGCTTCAGCTGCATTAACAGGTTCGACATCTGCATAGAAAGCATAATGTACCAGCTCACCTTCATCATTTATCACATCATCTGATGTAATCACACAATCTTGCAATCTTGCAGGCATGCGTCTTGTTCTTTGAGGTCTGCTTGTACTGAGTATATCTGCTGGCTCCTCTTGTCGAACTTCTCTTTCGACTTGAGTTTCTGGCTCTTCGAATAAGATTCCCACTGAATCTTTCTTGACATTTGCAGTCCAATCCCATTCTTTGAACTCATCTATGATCACGTCCCTGCTGATCACAATCTTCTTGTTTTCTGGATCGAATAACTTGTAGCCTCCTGTCGAATGATATCCAACTAGGATCATTTGACTTGACTTGTCATCAAGTTTCTTTCTCAACTGATCTGGCACATGTCTATGTGCAATAGATCCAAATACTTTTAGATGACTTAAGCTAGGCTTCACACCAGACCAACATTCTTCTGGAGTAATTCCTTCTAGCTTCTTTGTAGGACTTCTGTTCAAAATGTATGTTGCAGTCGAAACAGCTTCACCCCAGAACTCTTTGGGTAAATTCTTGCCTTTCAACATACTTCTCACCATGTTCATGATGGTTCGATTTTTCCTTTCTGCAATTCCATTTTGCTGTGGAGTATAGGGTGGCACCACCTCATGCACAATCCCTTCTTTTTCACATAATCTGTCGAAGTCTTTCGACACATATTCTCCTCCACCATCAGTTCTCAAAACTTTGAGCTTTCGACCACATTGTCTTTCGACCATGGACTTGAACTTGGTAAATACTTCGATCACTTCACTTTTCTGCTTGATCAGGTAAGTCCATAGCTTTCGGCTGAAATCATCTATGAATGTAACAAAGTATTTGTTACCTCCCATCGAATCCACCTGGATTGGTCCACATATATCAGAGTATATGACTTCGAGATTAGCCTTCGATCTGCTTCCTGCATCCTTGCTGAAGCTGTTCTTGTGTTGCTTTGCCTGCACACATTCTTCACATACTTCGTTTGGAATGTCAATTTCAGGCAATCCTGAAACCATATTTTTTCTCTTCAAATCTCTGATGTCTCTGAAGTTGAGATGACTTAGTCTATAATGCCATATCCATTCATCTCTGCTAGCTGCAGTCGAAAAGCACTTGTGCTCCATCACATTTAGTTCAATCTTGAAGGTTCGATTCTGAGACATAGGAGCCTTCAAGATTAATCTCCCATTTGCATCAACGACTCTCATCAACTTATCTTCGATTGACACTTTATAATTCTTTTCGACCAACTGTCCTATACTGAGCAAATTGCTCTTCATGCCTGGTATGTACAATACATTCGAAATTACTGACTTCTTGCCATCTTTCCTCATGATCATAACATCACCAATACCTTCAGCTGTTAGGGTGTTGTCATTTGCAAATTTTACCATATTCTTCGTTGAGGGTTTTATATTGACGAACCAGTCTTTCCTTCCAGACATATGTGATGAACATCCTGAATCGAAGTACCATTGGTCCTTGAATCTATCTTCATCTCTTGTTGTGACCATTAGCATCATCTCCTCTTCTTCTTCTTCATGTTTTGCAAGCTTTGCATCACTTTCTTGATTCTTTCGTTTTTCTGGACAATCACTTGAATAGTGACCATACTTCTGACAATTGTAACATTGAATGTGACTCTTATCAGGTTTTCGACCACCACCTCTTCCTCTGTTTGCAGCACTACCTCTTTGGTTTCCGTGGCGTGGTCTTCTTTGATTCGACACGTCTCCTTCGATTTGATTTCCTCTACCATTCGATTTGTTGTAGCCACCTCTACTTCTGTCGAAATACTTTCCTTTGCCTTTGGTTTCTTTTGCTGAATGTGCCTGCAAGGCTACATCACTCTTCGATTTTCCTGCAGCTCTTTCGTTCATTCTTTGTTCATGAGATTCGAGCGTCCCTTGAAGCTCTTCCTT